CCCCGGGCCTACTATAGTGCTGGCCTCCATCTTCTGGGTCCTGTATGGCGCTGTGTTGAGCATCTTCCTCTCTGCTTTGAAAACACAGGGAGGTCACTCACTCGGCCATTCACAGACCGCCTAGTATTTTCTTCAATGAATCCAAGGCGTTCTCTGATTGGACAAGGACAGATTGCCACGTCAGCTTTCCTCGTCCAATCAGAGAACACCATGTATTCATCATTTATACTGGGAGTTCAGCTTTTGTAATTTGATATCCTGCAGCTTCAGATCAGAACAGGTCACGTGATATCCTGCAGCTTCAGATCAGAACGGGTCACGTGATATCCTGCAGCTTCAGATCAGAACGGGTCACGTGATATCCTGCAGCTTCAGATCAGAACGGGTCACGTGATATCCTGCAGCTTCAGGTCAGAACAGGTCACGTGATATCCTGCAGCTTCAGGTCAGAACAGGTCACGTGATATCCTGCAGCTTCAGATCAGAACGGGTCACGTGATATCCTGCAGCTTCAGATCAGAACGGGTCAGGTGATATCCTGCAGCTTCAGATCAGAACGGCTCAGGTGATATCCTGCAGCTTCAGATCAGAACGGTTCACGTGATATCCTGCAGCTTCAGGTCAGAACGTGTCACGTGATATCCTGCAGCTTCAGATCAGAACGGCTCAGGTGATATCCTGCAGCTTCAGATCAGAACGGCTCAGGTGATATCCTGCAGCTTCAGATCAGAACGGCTCAGGTGATATCCTGCAGCTTCAGGTCAGAACGTGTCACGTGATATCCTGCAGCTTCAGATCAGAACGGCTCACGTGATATCCTGCAGCTTCAGATCAGAACGGCTCAGGTGATATCCTGCAGCTTCAGATCAGAACGGCTCAGGTGATATCCTGCAGCTTCAGATCAGAACGGGTCACGTGATATCCTGCAGCTTCAGGTCAGAACGGGTCACGTGATATCCTGCAGCTTCAGGTCAGAACGGGTCACGTGATATCCTGCAGCTTCAGATCAGAACGGGTCACGTGATATCCTGCAGCTTCAGATCAGAACGGGTCACGTGATATCCTGCAGCTTCAGATCAGAACGGGTCACGTGATATCCTGCAGCTTCAGATCAGAACGGGTCACGTGATATCCTGCAGCTTCAGATCAGAACGGGTCACGTGATATCCTGCAGCTTCAGATCAGAACGGGTCACGTGATATCCTGCAGCTTCAGATCAGAACGGGTCACGTGATATCCTGCAGCTTCAGATCAGAACGGGTCACGTGATATCCTGCAGCTTCAGATCAGAACGGGTCACGTGATATCCTGCAGCTTCAGATCAGAACGGGTCACGTGATATCCTGCAGCTTCAGATCAGAACGGGTCACGTGATATCCTGCAGCTTCAGATCAGAACGGGTCACGTGATATCCTGCAGCTTCAGATCAGAACGGGTCACGTGATATCCTGCAGCTTCAGATCAGAACGGCTCAGGTGATATCCTGCAGCTTCAGATCAGAACGGGTCACGTGATATCCTGCAGCTTCAGATCAGAACGGGTCACGTGATATCCTGCAGCTTCAGGTCGGCTATTCACAGCGTAGTAGTAAAACATCTGGGGCTTATGGTAACTGTGGCTCCCCCTCCACACAGTCTTACCTTTGGGGACACTCTGGTGTTCTCCAGGAAAACCCGAGTCCAGACCGCCGGGTGCCGGGCCACGAACTTCCAGTCGCGGCTGACCTCGGCCGCCCGCAGCAGAGTTTTAGTATCGAGGTAGGTGAATATACAGAAAAGAGCCGCCCTCATCTTCAGGATCTCCGGGCTGATGACCTCGTTGGCACGAGACGGACTCCCCTTCTCCGGCCTCAGCATCCTGCCGTCGCAGCGGCCTGAAGGGGGCGACACAAGAGACGGTTACACAGCGGGATATGTAAATTATTCCTAGTTATTGTCAGCAGCATTGGGGTTCTAACTGTCCCAGATAAGCTGGCCGTTTCTTTCACAGGTGACTCGGCAACTCTCCTGGACTGGAATGGCTTCCTCTGATTTCACTGCACACTGCGAGCTGCTCACAATGTGCGTTAGAAGCTGCAGCAAGTCAGATAGGGCCCGCCTCATTTCCCGGCTGGAGGACGTCCAGCATCATCTAGCCCTTTCCTCTCCCTGGTCCCAGCGACTCACCTTTTGGTCTGCAGTCTCCTGACGCCCGTTCGGAGTTGAGCTCGGCAGAGCCGATGCTGTCCTGCTCCCAGACCTCGGCCTCGGATTCCGTGGCCTGAGACCCGGCGTCAGAGATGTCCCCTTCTTCTCCCTCTGTGCTGTTGCGGTAGGGCCGGCGGTGCCAGTTCTGGATGGCCTGGCGCCGGAGCCCCGAGCTGCGGTTGTTGTTCCTCTCGAAGCTGCTGTCCTCCGGCTGGTTGTTCCCGGAGTAGTGATCTAAGGACTCGTCCATGGGCACCGGCTCCCCTCCGTCACTGTCATAGCAGCCCGAGCTCTGGGAGACGGTCTTCACTCTGCCCGCAACTCTGCCAGCAAGACAAAGAAAAAAACTAAAGGTGGTGATAAGAATATCTTCCCCCCAAACCGTACAGGAAGTGGGATAGGTGACAACACTGGAGCCAATTTCAAAGGCCGTGTCTGAGCGTTGTCACCGATCCAGAGCAAGCCATGATGAGCTTTATGGCAGGACTGACAGATATGTATGGGAGCGTTCCATATTGTCAATGTTTACTGATTAAGGGTGCACATATCCTATACTATAAAGGGGGTAAGAAACTTTGCCACTCCAGCTAAGGTCCAACTACAAATCCCATCAGCCCTCTTAGAGTCATGCCTGCGGCTGTCAATGCCTCATGTGACTTGTAGTTCCAGAACAGCTGGAGGGCCGAGGTTGCCCAACCCTGAGCGATAATATTCACACTTGTGACCATTGATGCCCTTTCACAACTTCATCTGATCGTGTTGCTGTCAGTAGATAATAAATAATGAACTCACCCCGTACAGGAGGAAGATCGCTGATTGGACACAGGATAGGAACCGTGGGTGGAGGAGCCGGGCCCCTGGTGCCTCTCTATCCTCTAAGAGAAGAGAACAAAGACACGGATCAATAATATACATTTACAGTCTGCACAGAGAGAATGAAAGAGGATTCATTAACCCCAGGAAACAAAAACATGATTATAGGCAGATCACCAAAATCAATACTGGCTGATCACCAAAATCAATACTGGCAGATCACCAAAATCAATACTGGCAGATCACCAAAATCAATACTGGCTGATCACAACAAATCAATACTGGCTGATCACTACAAGTCAATACTGGCTGATCACTACAAGTCAATACTGGCTGATCACAACAAATCAATACTGGCTGATCACTACAAATCAATACTGGCTGATCACTACAAATCAATACTGGCTGATCACAACAAATCAATATTGGCTGATCACACAAATTAATACTGGCTTATCACAACAAATCAATACTGGCTGATCACTACAAATCGATACTGGCTGATCACTACAAATCAATACTGGCTGATCACTACAAATCAATACTGGCTGATCACTACAAATCAATACTGGCTGATCACTACAAATCAATACTGGCTGATCACAACAAATCAATACTGGCTGATCACTACAAATCAATACTGGCTGATCACTACAAATCAATACTGGCTGATCACTACAAATCAATACTGGCTGATCACTACAAATCAATACTGGCTGATCAATACAAATCAATACTGGCTGATCACAGCAAATTAATACTGGCTGGTCACAGCAAATTAATACTGGCTGATCACAACAAATCAATACTGGCTGATCACAACAAATTAATACTGGCTGATCACAACAAATTAATACTGGCTGATCACTACAAATCAATACTGGCTGATCACAACAAATCAATACTGGCTGATCACTACAAATCAATACTGGCTGATCACTACAAATCAATACTGGCTGATCACAACAAATCAATACTGGCTGATCACAACAAATCAATACTGGCTGATCACAACAAATCAATACTGGCTGATCACTACAAATCAATACTGGCTGATCACTACAAATCAATACTGGCTGATCACTACAAATCAATACTGGCTGATCACTACAAATCAATACTGGCTGATCACTACAAATCAATACTGGCTGATCACTACAAATCAATACTGGCTGATCACTACAAATCAATACTGGCTGATCACTACAAATCAATACTGGCTGATCACTACAAATCAATACTGGCTGATCACTACAAATCAATACTGGCTGATCACAGTAAATTAATACTGGCTGATCACAGCAAATTAATACTGGCTGATCACTACAAATCAATACTGGCTGATCACTACAAATCAATACTTGCTGATCCCTACAAATCAATACTTGCTGATCCCTACAAATCAATACTGGCTGATCACTACAAATCAATACTGGCTGATCACAACAAATGAATACTGGCTTATCACAACAAATTAATACTTGCTGATCACAACAAATCAATACTGGCTGATCACTACAAATCAATACTGGCTGATCACAACAAATCAATACTGGCTGATCACTACAAATCCATACTGGCTGATCACAGCAAATTAATACCTTCCAATGGGGATGTGGGCACAGGATCACTTTAAGATGAATGATGGAGGACTCCCAGGGGATATGGGCACAGGATCACTTTAAGATGAATGATGGAGGACTCCCAGGGGATGTGGGCACAGTATCACTTCAAGATGAATGATGGAGGACTCCCAGGGGATGTGGGCACAGG